GTGTGTGTAAGAAAAATGGTCCATGTAAAGCAGACATAGTAAATGCCTGGAGAGCTATTACCAGTGCAACCTTCACAAAATCCTGCAAATCCACCACCTGGATAGGCATACCAACATGCTCATCCATTCACAGGCCAATATCCCCAGTGTCAAGGCACTGCTCACATGTGATCAGCTGTGACCAGTAGGCTACACTGTTCAAATGCCTGACACAAGACACCTAAACAAGTGCTCACAATGGTGAGCGATCATGAGGGCAGAATCGACACTGTAAGGACGCCATTAAACACCCGTCTAAATAAATGCAACATCCTCACTGAAACATGACAATTGCTTGTGTTAGAATGCACAAACTGGAGAAGAAACATCTGCAAATGTGCCAACCACTTCAGACATCACCATGCGGAGCATGTGGAGGCCTAACACACAAAACGGAAAGAGTGCTCTGAATCCAGAGCAGCCCACCTACCCACCCACCGTGTCAAGTATCACCTGCCCCTGTTGTAGCAAATGTCCTTCAGGGAAGGAAACTGCCATTCTTACCTACATGTGACTCCAGACCCACAGCAACGTGGTTGACTCTCCACTGCCCTCTGGCAATTAGGGATGGGCAATAAATGCTGCCTAGCCAGCGACACCCTCATTCTGTTAATGAATTAAAGAAAAAGAGCCTGTGACTCCAGGATTGAGCTGTTTAGCCTCCACGGAATTCATCCCTTTAGAGTAGAAGCAAGTCATGCTCGACACTGTGGGGCTGCCAAAGATGATGATAAACTGGCTGGACGTTCAGCTTATACAGACGTCATATTGACTTCTGTTTAATTTTCACACATACTAATTGAATCTAGAAACAAGTGAAGTCCCATCTGCATTCTTAGCTTCATCAAAGTTGTGTGGTGATTAACTGAAGTGCTATAAATCATTACGTTAATCTGTAGGGTTTCATCTGTTCGCTTCATATTTCGAATTCCAAGCTCAAATTCATTTTTTCCAGTAAATTGTATTCTGAAAGCTTCTCAACTAAATTTGATTACAGTAGATAGATGCAAAGATAGGAGCTATAACTTCCCAAATGCCAGTGTATTCTGTTATGCATAGATAATTGTGACTTGTTGATAGAGGGAAACTTTTCATTGCACTTATTGGATTTAGTCAGTTCCTTAACTGTAGATTCCACAGTGGTCAAATCTGGCTTTATTCATGTTTGAGTTGAATGTGAAAACTTTACACACAAAGCATGAATTGTGCGCGCTGGGTAAAGACAGTAAATATGGGAACTTCTGTATTTTAGTCTGTCCTGTTTTTAAATCATGTATTTCCCTTGACTAATGTCAAGATGGAGGCTGAATTATCTCTTAGTTACCTAAGTATTTCAGTTTATCTCAAATTGAAGCCTATGTTGTATATCTACCTCTAGATTTTACTGCCTCTTGCCATGACTGCTACAGTGCTCCTTGGTGATTTAAAATTGATTCTTCCACAAACTTTCAATTTGCTCAAAATTCGTCCTGGCTGCTTCATTATCCCACATTAAGTCTCCTAAATTTCCATCTATTGGATATTATCTCTCTCTCTCTCTCTCTCTCTCTCTCTCTCTCTCTCTCTCTCTCTCTCTCTCGAAATATCCACTTTCTTTCATTAAAAAAGACACAAATGTAAGCTGTTTTTACAGTATGGGCTTATTACAGGAAAAAGGCTAACTTGTTTTATAAAGCACTTTTTAGAACATTCTAATGTTTCAAAGTCCTTTACAGCCAGTTAAATTGTTTTAAAGTGTAGTAACAATTTTTCTCCTACATTGAAAAGTAATCACTAGCACATTAGTCTAATTAGCTGAATATTATATTTTTGACGTAAAATGCTTCTGGTTTTCTCATAAGAATTTATTTTCCATGATGTCAACATTGTTTGATAAACTGCTCAAAACATCTGGATTGCATACATTTAATCTTAATTATATCTAACGCCCTTCAGTCATTTGGTAGATGTACATTGATTTTGTATAAATACTTTATTGAAAATTTTAAGACACACAATGAAGGCAGTCTTTTAAAAAACATAATCTTTTAGGTTTTAGAACGCCCAAAGAAAAAGGAGTTAAAGCTGCTTTTCTTTTCAAGTTACTTAAAAAATACAATCTTTTGAAACATCTCTTCATTCATTGACTAATATTACTTAAACATTGTGAATTGACTTGATTCTCACATCTTAATTTTCTTAAATATTTTGCTTTGGTAATTGTTTTTCATTGATGTTATAAGTTTCTTTACGTTAGTTTGTGAGGTAGGGTTCAAAAATATTTGGAAAGGCTATTTAATCACTTGAATCTGGATTGCTCAATTCAAGTTTGATCCATTTGGAAATTAAAAGCTGATGCTAGTGAATTTGCTTGAAGTTTGCCAAGCGTTTGACTGGAAATTTGACATTGTTGTTTTTGTCAGGAACATGTATGATCAGTTCCAGGATGAACATGTGTTAGGATCTAGCAAACCTCTCCTGAATTAAGAAGGTGGTAAATGGAGTTTGTAAAGATGGGCAGTCAACTATAAGGAAGATTAAAACCAAATTAATCTGAGACTGTTAGGCAAACAGTCTTCCCCATATAACTCTGAGGAGCTACTCCCAGTATGTGACTTCCTATTGTGAAACCCTTCCTCTCTTAGTATTTCCTGTCACTGTTGGGGAAATTTTAAAACTGATGCTCAACATCACCAGAACACCCACTTAATTTTTTTAAAATTAACATAGCTTTGAATTATGGTTTCACACTTCTCAGGATGGGGAAAACTTCTGTGAACATACTTTCTGTTATGCCAACTTGTCCCAAGGTAATTAAGATTACATTTGTTATCAGAGTCTTCCGTAAGATTCTGAGAAATGGAAATTTGCTTGATTTGTTCTGACTTGTTCCAGATAAATTCAATGAAAAAGGGACCTCATGCAAACTCGATAACCATCCAGCTAAATTACAGATGATAACATTTTGGAGATAGCCATGTTGAGTGCCTGATATAGCAGCTAATATTGAGCTGCAATTATCTCTAGGAAGTTCAAGTCTTAAATGCATATATTGATATGAATTGCTTTGTTTTTTAAAAGAACGATGCATTGAGACAAATGCCTTCTTTCAATGTTGTACACTTTCTATTTCTAAGCTTTGTGACTTTGAGTTTATAATTTGTTTCCTATGCTGCTTAATTGTACCACGTTTTTAATTAAGTATAATCTTTGCATTTATTATTGCACTTTTGACATAGAACAATGCCCCAGGTTGCTTCACAGAGGAGAAGCAGATTTTGAAAACTTAGCTCAAACATCTTTTTTAAGTTAACTGTAATTGGGAAAGGCATAATAATGCTGTCGTTTGAGCAGTCAATCTGAAGCCTACTAAGGCTGCACTGTTGAAAATGGAACAGAGAGAAGTTGGGGAGGGATGAAATGGCCAGGGTAGGGGAAAATCTGAGGGAATGTAAGGGTAGGTGTGATTTTAAATCTTATCTGTTGGGAGATAGAGATACACATGGGTCAGAGTCGAACATGATAGATAAACAGAGCTTTCTACTAGACAGGATGTGGATTGCGGAGCTTTGAATTATTTGTTAGTTATACTGCTGAAAACATTTGATTCATTGAGGCTGAGACTTGCTTTGAATTGTGACCTTAATATGGTAGAATGTATATTCAGTTTGAGAGTAAAAACTTGGATCAGAAACAGCTGTGCTAGACATCCAAAAAGGGTCATGGGGATGTGATCCAGAGGCTCCGATAATGTTCCAGGTTTGAATTCCACTGTGACAGAATTTGAATTCAGTAGAAGTCTGGAATTAAAGTCCAACGATGACCATGAAACTGTTTTTGACTGCCATGAAAACTCAGCTGGGTTACTAACATTTGGGGGACAGTGCCAAAATTGGGAGGACTGTCTCCCAGCTATCCTCTTGTGGGAGAGGATGAGATCAGAAGGCAACATCTCAGTCGGGTCACCCATTTAAGACAAAGATGAGGAGGAATTTCTTCTCCAAGCTGGTGATTCTGTGGAATTCGTGAAATGGGCAGAGGGCTGTCAAGGCTGGGCCACTAAGAATATTCAAGATTGAGATGGTCTGATTTTTCTTTAGAAACAGTAAGGGGATTGAGGGCCATTGGAAAAGCTAGGGAAGTGCAATGCGAATACGAGCATTGAGGTCAGGTGACTGTCTATTGTACTTTTGCAAATAAAATAACAATTTTCAAGATCTCTATCCCTAATTAACAAGCTGGCTAGCAACACTAATGTAATTGTTTCCACTGAGGCAGCAGATCTTGCATCCTGCATCAATTTAATTGTGAAAAATGTGTGATTAATTGAGGGTTTTTGAAAACTTAAAATATGCTTGTGAAAGTTTTGAGTCTCTAGAGCACTTCAAATGTCACAGTTTGTGTGAGATGCTACCCAATTGCAGCCAAACTATCTGAGAAAAGCTTTGGAAAGAAATGGTTATTGACTTTTTCACATAACTTAGATTTGTTAAGGCATGGAGCAAAGTCATGCAGTTCCCAGTATAAAGAAACTTTCAAAAAACACCAGACTTATTTTAGGCCACAACCTACAGGGATTATTTGAGCTTTGTCCTTAACGAGACAGCTGTCAATGAGATTACACTGATAAGTGTCACCTTAAGGGATCTTGGGCTTCTGGAAAGTGACCAAGGGCTTTTCAATTTTTGTGGCTAGGCTACTAAGGCTTTAGATTATTGATCATTATAACAAATTGATTAAAATAAGTTTGTCTATATTGCTTGCTGATCTGGAACCACCAGGTATTTATGTCGCTTACGATGTCTATATTTCGACCATTTCTTTAAAATGATGAACTTGCATGAATCAAATGAAATAGTTAAATAATGATACTTCAGTAGTCAAAAAATTAAAATTATTAAACTATTAAGGTTGTCCTATTTCTGATATTGAAATGTGTTCAGAAAAAAATTCTAAAATGATTTTTGTTTTGCCATTTACAGGTGAAATAATCTGCTCTTTTGGCAACAATGCCATTTCCATTTGGCAAATCCCATAAGTCTCCAGCGGACATAGTGAAAAATCTAAAGGAGAGCATGGCGGTATTAGAAAAACAAGACATCTCTGATAAAAAGGCAGAAAAGGTACAGTGCCTTCAGCATGTGACATCACTTCATGTTTTTGTTATTTGAGTACTGAATGAGAATTTCAATAACGCTTACTTCAATCAGAGCACTTTCCTTAGCACCTGCAAATGCATGTAATTTACTGTTGAACTTTTGTGGTAGAAATTTTTTGAAGGTGTAATGGCTATAAAGAATAAAAAAAGAGCTGTCAATTAAATGTTTTAATTGCAGTTTATTTTGCCTAACATTTAGGCTAGCTATTTGTGTATGTTCTCTAATTCTGAAAATAGGCATATACCCATTTACTGCTAGTCTGTTATGCTGAGCTAGAGCAAAAATATAAAAGTTATAATCGGAACTGAGTCTGCATCTTATACAAATAAAGAACTGTCAATTTTCTAAACACTGCAGTAGGATTATATAGGCTTCTCATGCAACAAACATGTTCTTGTAACTATTCAGCACATTTTAGATGGATGTGCACCAAATCCTTATTCTGACTATTTTCTTAGGGTTGTGTCAGCCATTTTAAATTGAATAAATTTGTGTATGGATCTTTTGATATCGCCAGTCATTTTGTCAGTAGTCACAACTTAGTAATTACAGGAACTGTTGAATTTATTGACCCAGTGATAAACTGATATCCTGCATATTTAACGCATTTGTCACTGCCTTGCTTCTACTCCATTTTGTGTCATCAGCTCCTGACAAATGCAGAATGGCTGGTAAACAAGAGGTGGGACTTCATCTGCGCTGCTTAATTGATAAAGATATTCAACAAGTTCATTAACCCATGAACCCAGAACAGCAGTGCTCTCATCTTTAGCCAGTCTGTCCTATAGAATGTCCTCATTTAAAATTTCCCCATTGAATGTTGCTTTGTTTCACAAATGCCAGTTTTCAGCCAATTTGGTTTACTCCACATGGTAGCAAAAAGCAGTTGTAGGTACTGGATACTGCAGAGGCTATGGATTAGGACAGCATCCCAGCAATAGTCGGAATATGTATGTTCCAGAACTTGTTGCTCCTCTAGCCATGCTGTTCCATGACAGTTACAGCAGTTGTATTAAACTGACAATCTGGAAAATTACCCGGTTATGTCCTGTACGCAAAGCAGGAGAAATCTAACCTGGCCAATAACTGACCCATCAATCTATCCTCAATCATCAGGAAAGTGTCAACAACAGTGTTATCAAGCCGAACACATTGTCAGTTAGCAGGTAATTGCTAAATCAGTTTGGATTCTGCCAGGACCGCTCGGCTTCTGACACCATCTTGGTTGAAACATGGTCAGAAGAGCTGAATTCCAAAGGGGAGATGAGAGTCAATACATTTGTCAGTGTGCCATGAAAGAGGTGTGGCGAAACTGGAGTCAATGGGAGGATGGGGAAACTCTCCACTGGTTGGAGTCCAAACCAGCACAGAGAACTGTAGTTGCTGGTCGGTCATCTTGGCTCTGGGACGTCTCTGTAGGAGTTCCTCAGCCTAGTGTCGTAGACCGAACCATCTTCAGCTGTTTCATCTGTGACCTCTCTTATATCATAATGTCAGAAGTGGTGCTGAACATTGTGTATTCGCAATCTCCTTGTGCATTTCCTCAGATATTAAAGCAGTACTTGTCCAAATGCAACAAGACCTAAACAATATCCAGTCTTGGGCTGACAAATAACATTCATGTCACACAAGTGCCAGGCAATGACCGTTGCTTAGCTCCCGTCAACATCCTGGGGGTTGCCCATGACTAGAAGTGGAACTGGACTAGCCATGTAAATTTATTCCAAAATATCAGGTAAAAGGCTAGGAATCCTGCAGTGGGTTACTCACCATCTGACTTTGCAAAGCCTGCCCACCAACTGCAAAGCACAGATCATGAGTGTGATGGAATACTCCCCACTTGCCTGGATGAATGCAGCTACAACAACACTGGAGCTTGGTGCCAGCCAGGACAAAGTAGTCGACTTGACTGGCGCCAAATCCGCAAATGTTTACTCACTCCACAGTTTGTACAGCAACAGCATTGTGTAACATATAGAAAAATCTACTGCAAAAATGCATCAAGGCTGCTTCAACAACACCTTCCAATCCCACAGCAACTGCCATTTAGAAAGAGAAGCAGTAGATAGATAGGAACAAGAACCACCTACAAGTTCCCCGCCAAGCTATTGATTATCCTGGCTTGGAAATATATTGCTTTTCTTTCAGTGTTGCTGTTTCAAAATCCCGGAACTTCCTCCCTGCTGGCATTGTGCACTATTTATAACAAATGGACTGCAGCGGTTCGAGAAGCAGCTCACTACCACCTTCCCAAGTGCAACTAGAGATGAGCAGTAAATGCTGGTTTAGCTGGTGATGCCCACATTCTGTGAATGAATAAAAATAAATCCCTACTTCTAAACTGGTCAACCAGGACAAAAAGCTTTTCAGCCTCCAGGCTGAGGGGTGACCTTATTGAAGGTTATAAAATCATGAGGGGCATGGATAGGGTAAATAGCCAAGGTCTTTTTCCTAGGGTGGCGGAAGTCCAAAACTAGAGGGCTCAGTTTAAAATGACAGAGAAAATTTTAAAAAGGACCTGAGGGCTAATGGTTTCAGGCAGAGGGTGCTTTGTGTATGGAACAAGCTGACAGAGGAAGTGGTGGAGGGAGTACAATTAGAACATTTAAAAGGCATCTAGATGGGAATATGAATAGGAAGGGTTTAGAGGGATATGGGTGAAATCCTGACAAATGTGACTACGTCAAATTGTATGTCTGGTCGGTGCGGATGAGTTGGACCAAAAGATTTTTTCTGTGCTCTATGACTCTGTCTACTGTCATAGTGTCAGTTGTGGTTTATTTAGTAACAATCCACTCCTGGACTTGAGCACAAAAAATCTAAACTGAACAAGTGATGCGCAGTTGGAAGCGCCATCTTTTGAATGAGACGATTGACTGTAACCTGCAATGCTGTTTGGAGGGATTGTGCAGTCACAATGGGCCAAATGGTCTCTTTCTGCACTGTGGGGATTATGTAAACCTGACCCTCTTGTGTGATTGGCTTTATTTAAGTTGGAAACCTGGGTTTTGTCAAAAGTATGTCATTTTTAAACTCAAATTCAGCCATTTTATAATCACTATTTCCCATGGGATCTTGGACCAGAAGAGCAAACTTGTAAAAGTGATACCAGTATGATTTGACTGAGTATGGCATCAAGGATCCTGAGTACAGTTTGAAGTCGTTGGGGATGCTTGATGTGTCCATTGTGTGGATTTATGCATAGTACAAGAGGATAATATGTTTACTGGAGGTCAGTCATCAATACCAGGATGTAGTTGTGGATGTTCCTCTGGGGCTGTCTTTTGCCTAACATCTTCAAATGATATCCATGACCTTTCCTCCATCATAGTATTGGAAGTGGGGATAACTTGATTGAACATTCTTGAGTTCCATTCACTGTTATTCATACTGAAGCAGTAAGATCTGGGTGATCTCCAGGAATGGCTGTGACATGAATGCCACTAATCTGCTAAGCACTGACCAAGAGCCTGGATGTGTACAATTTCAGCAGCACTCGTGGATCTCAAATCCATCCAGGACAAAGTTCCCCACTTGACAGTCATCCCACTCAACACATTTAAACTTTCACTTTTCATTGCAATGTGGTTGCAATGTGTGCCATTTAGAAAATTCTCTGCAGCAACTTACAAAAGCTTATTTGATAGTGCATCCCAAATTTGCAACTCTGCCATCTAGAAAGAGCAGGGCATCAAGCTCATGGGACCATCGCCACATGTAATTACTCACCCAAGTCACCCACCATCTTGACTTTGAAATATTTTGCAATTACTTCACTGCTGCTCAGTCAGAATCCTGGAGCTCCCTTTCTAACACTATATCCTGTGAACTGCAGCAGTTCAAGAAAGCACTTGTCATCACAATTAGAGTGAGCAGTTAAGAATGGGCAATAAATGTTGGCTTTGCCTGTAATGCAAAATGCCATGAATTAATGTTGAAAACAGATACAAGTAGATATAATTTCTTGAAATTACATTTCTTAGACTGTCTCTGAAGTTGTAAATGTAACTGAGAATTTGGGCACAGATCTTTCCAATTCCTTTAGGTACCAGTCTTTTGGTGGTTGAAGGCATTGACATCTTGTGGTTCATGGTGTTTGTCTTGGTTTTGTCGAAAGTACGTCATGTGGAGTTCAGCACTGTATATGCAGGCAAAAACAAATCGCATTACAAAGAGGATATACTTGATTTAACTGTGACTGAAGTGCTTGATGTTGCCAACGAATCCCATTAATTAAAACCGTTGCCTTCCTTTGTACTGACATTTTCACCTTGAATTAAATTTAAAGAGAAGGGGCTGTTGCACCTGCATCAACATGCTTAAAATCAGTTTAAAGAAGGGTAGTTGCAAGTTGAAAGAGATGACTTGATTTTCTGTTCTGAGTAATCCTGTTATAACAACCAGCGAGAGGGGAGACTGCACAGCATTGGTGGTTGGAGGAGGTGGGTGAAGAGAAGCATTATTACTTGCTGAGTGTATAATTACTGCAGAGAAATTAAGTTTGGCAGAGCCAGCTTAACTTGAACCATTCTGGTATTTGATGCAACTCCTCTTTAAATAAGCTTCCCTCCAAAGTAGAGAAATGTTGCTAATAATGAGTGTGAACGCACAAAGCAAAATACTTGCTTAAGTGAAGCTGGTTAAATATTACATTTCACGTCCGTTCAGGAATTCAGTTTTAATGAAGAAAGGATTTTAATTTTCAGTCTGCCTGTGTATTATGGTATGTATGTAAAAAGAATTGGGATATTTCTGTCTCTGGTGGCATATGAATGTAGACAGTGTAGGATTTTCAAGAATTTGCGTAGGGATTTACATCTGCTTTTTCTCTAAAGGGCCCACCCATCCCAAATACCACACCTGTCATCCTTGCCCTCATGGGCTGGTATTTTGGATGAGAGTTTTGGAGGATTTGAGTTGGTTGTAGTCACTGAGTCGTAAGAAAGCAATTTATGTCATAACTT